AAACCTAGTTGGTAATTGGTATACTCAATTTAATGGTTTGTCTTATAATCAATGCAATACATGTGTATAAATTTATGATGAAAACAGACGAATTACCAATGGAAAATGGAGCATGTCAAAATGTTAGTGCATTTATTTTTTGGCTGAAAATAATATTCGTGCATTTGGAAGCAAAAATTATACAGACGTAATTATCTCTAGACATTTGAACGACACATGAATCCCAATGACAAACAATCACGAACATTTAATCTCTATGTTTTATTTTATCTTATTTCGTATTTTTTGGGAATTTCCTGAGCAAATGAATGAAAGCAATACAAGAAGGGCAAGTTTTACAAAATTGGGTAACAAAACTTTTACGGCTGAGGAGAGTAATATGTGCAAGGAAAATTCCATTGAGAAATGATATTTATTCACCTCATTGAAGCTTTTGAGAGAAGACATGAGTATAGGCTCACGGATTCATTTTCCATCACGAAGAAGATCACTTGGAAGCAACTCTCGTATTGTTACGTCTGTCCATTCCAACCTCCATTCCATAAGAAAAATTGTTTAGCAAGGATTCGATCTGTTTGACCTCTTTCGGAACTGATGCAGTGAGTACCTGCCATACAAAAAGATCTCAATGTTTATCATGAATTCCCAACTTTATGAATTCCTAACATAGTCCGATTCTACCTCGTATCCTGAATCAGTAATGAGGAACAGGGACTGAGTTAATGAGAAATTCTATTACAAAAACCAGTTTTATCAATATGATTGAGAATAGTTTGAATGCCAAATTGATATTAATTAAGTGAAAAGAATGTATAAGACCAAAGACTGTAATTTAAATGCAGACAAGAGGTAAAAGTCAACAAGATCTGAGCTTAGAGCTGTGATTTAATGATGGATGAACGCTAGGATTACTGATTTCCCATCGGTTGCAACTCTGACCACGATTTTCTATACGATTGCTGTAGCAAAGTTCATCTAGTCAACCTAAAATTCTACATAATCATCTTCCGACAGATTTATGCTTGTAATTCCTTAAACTAAACCAACATATTCCTATGTGTTTTAGTTTACAAATCTGACGTTAACATCAATTTTTTTTTAATACATATATAATAGTTTGACAGTTTACCCGAGAAACTCTAGAAAAAAATAATAGTAATGATAACGCCTAGAGTTAAAACATGTTAAAGAACATATATACGTACGTGAAACAATTATAATTTATTTTCAGCCTAATGTAACATCACTTCACCGTTCTAAATCTAGAGTAAGATATACCTCCGAAATGACATGTGACAAGAAGTTTGTGGACAAGTGGGTTAAGACTTTTTAAGTGACTTTAGAACCCAGGTTCTGGGACTCTGTTTTGACAGATTTAATGGCCTGGTTCCCACCAGTATCTAACTAACTAAAGTAGGTTGAAACCTAGTTGGTAATTGGTATACTCAATTTAATGGTTTGTCTTATAATAAATGCAGTACATGTGTATAAATTTATGATGAAAACAGACGAATTACCAAAGGAAAATGGAGCATGTCAAAATGTTAGTGCATTTATTTTTTGGCTGAAAATAATATTCGTGCATTTGGAAGCAAAAATTATATAGACGTAATTATCTCTAGACATTTGAACAACACATGAATCCCAATGACAAACAATCACCAACATTTAATCTCTATGTTTTATTTTATCTTATTTCGTATTTTTTGGGAATTTCCTGAGCAAATGAATGAAAGCAATACAAGAAGGGCAAGTTTTACAAAATTGGGTAACAAAACTTTTACGGCTGAGGAGAGTAATATGTGCAAGGAAAATTCCATTGAGAAATGATATTTATTCACCTCATTGAAGCTTTTGAGAGAAGACATGAGTCTAGGCTTACGGATTCATTTTCCATGACGAAGAAGATCACTTGGAAGCAACTCTCGTATTGTTACGTCTGTCCATTCCAACCTCCATTCCATAAGAAAAATTGTTTAGCAAGGATTCGATCTGTTTGACCTCTTTTGGAACTGATGCAGTGAGTACCTGCCATACAAAAAGATCTCAATGTTTATCATGAATTCCCAACTTTATGAATTCCTAACATAGTCCGATTCTACCTCGTATCCTGAATCAGTAATGAGGACCTCATCTTCAATTCTTATCCCAATGCCCTGATACCTGCATGACATATCCTTGAGTGTATTAGCTACTGCGGTTCATCAGACATCAAAAACTAAGTTTAGTAATGTCCTCACACACATTGGGCGCACACACTTCGGTCTACCCCCAAGGCATCAAAAGATAATCCAATTTAACGTTGAGGACTAGTTTGTTGAGAGATAATTGGAAAATTGAAATTAACTAGATTAGCATCAACAATGATATGAGGGGGCCAACTATTGCAACAATATCAGGAATATTTGAGAATGACTAAAAGTAGTCTCCCTTTCCTAATGAGTACAAGTGCTTAGTCAGAGCCGAGTCTAATTGCTCCCCTTTTCTGAGTATGAGGATGATAGTACATTTTACCATACACCAAGAACCAACTGCATCTCCAAGTAAACGAAGGACAATTATTTGGTGTAGATAAGTAGAAAGTACCTCTCTGGACCATCAAAAGAAGATGGGATATAGATTCCCGGTTCAATCGTTATCACCTGCCCAAGACCAAGAAGATTTGTAAAAGTAGAACACAGCTTGCAGCACCTATACATGTTCGATGTTGATGTTGCAGTGTTACAGTTGGCATATGGCCAGAATGTTGAAGCGGTATGGATAAGGCTCTTGATTTATAAGAGAATGAAAACAGAAAGGAACTATATATATGTGAAAATGGTGTTTGATGTGGGAGACAACTTACAACACCTGGCTTCAAAGGACGGTTATAACTGACTGTTGAACAATCATGGACATCCATTCCTAGATAATGACCTGAACAACAAGAGAAGAAAATAATCGCAAAACCAATTTGGTTGTTCTTATGACAATGGTATATTCTCATGCCGAACAATCATAATAAAAGAAAAATTGAACTCATGCAAAGGGATATGCAAAAAAAACCTATAGAAGTTGGATTCAGCTGATGATAAGAATGGCTTGCTTCACTTTTCAAGATTCCAATCTCATTGAGTCCTTTGCGCAGCATTGCAACCTGTGCAAGCACATGAAATTTAAAGTTAATCAATTACTTCAGAATTAAGAGGAGATGAAATTTCACTCTCTTGATTCTAAAAAATGAGAAAATTCAGGGAACCCAAAAAAAAAAAAAAATCCATTCTCCAAGTACCGAATAGTTGTGTATTTGTTGAATACTAGCACCAGGTTTGCAGAGCTTCAAAGATTCCTTGTTCGTTTGCAGAATCAGCTCATAAAGGTCCTCCTGAAATATAGACATGACATATCTCAAGTATGAGACCAGGTTGTTGAAAACGTGTTATTTCCTACTGTTTAGGAAATTCTATTTTCGGAAATATATGTAATCTCTGTATGGTAGATTAGTTGCTGATTTGTAGCTAGCTGTAAATTAGGAATTAGTTTCTTTTTCTTTCTCTAACTGATTGTAACCTAATTGTATATAAAAGAGGCTTATTACCTCTGATTATAATGTGAGACTGACGGCTAGGTATTCTTAATTGACCTACCGATTTCCACATGGTATCAGAGCCAAACATCTGATCACCGGAAAAATCAAACAGCCACCATGTCTGGCACATCCAGCGTAGGTGATAAGTCGCTCGATTCTGGATTGGCGAAATCATCTTCAAAACCTGCTCTCCTGTCAAATACTCATGACAATCTTTCTTCTCACCTAATTACCACTCACAAACTCAATGGAGAAAATTTTCTCCAATGGTCCCAATCGGTCATGTTATTCATCCGGGGTCGTGGAAAGACTGGGTTTCTAACGGGAGTGACACAGAAATCAAAAGAAGGTCTCGAATCCATTGAGACCTGGGAATCTGAGAATGCCTTGATCATGTCATGGCTAATCAATTCGATGGAGCCAGCGATCAGCAAGACTTATATGTTCCTGGCCACTGCTCAAGAAATCTGGGAAGCTGCAACGAAGACTTTTTCTGATCTGGAAAATTCTGCCCAGGTCTATGAAATTACCACACGCATCCGCAACACGAAACAAGGCAATCTGAGTGTGTTGCAATACTATAATATGCTCAGAACCTTATGGCAGGAGCTAGATTTATTTTACGACTATGAATGGCACTGTCCACAAGACAATGCCATATTCAAAAAGATGATCGAGAAGGACCGTGTTTTCGCATTCTTGGCTGGCTTGAACAACAAACTTGATGAGGTTCGTGGTAGAATTCTTGGACGTGAAGTCTTGCCATCCACTCGTGAAGTATTCTCTGAGGTCCGCAGGGAGGAAAGCAGAAGGAGTGTTATGCTGGGAAAAGAGACCCAAGAGGTTCCTGTCACTGAGTCAAAGTCATCCGCTCTTGCAGTCAGAAGCAACAGGTTCTCCACCTTTTCTGATGGTGGGATTGACACTCGAAATAAAAAGGGAAATAGACCCTGGTACGACCATTGTAAAAAATCTCGACACACCCGTGAAACTTGTTGGAAACTGCACAGAAAACCCCCTCATCTGAAAAACGGACAACCAGACCAACGGACTAGCAGAGCTCTTCAAACGGCCTCTGAGGAATCAATACCAGAAAGTGCTCCTGTTGCCCTTAATAAGGAACAACTCGAAAACCTTATGAAACTCCTGAATTCTACTTCCCTTCCATCTGCCTCGATTGCCCAGAAAGGTAATTTTCCTCAGTCCTTCAGTGTGCTAACTGAGGACAGAACCCCATGGGTTATAGATTCTGGTGCCTCAGATTATATGATAGGTTGTTCCTCACTCTTCTCCTCTTATTCTCCTTGTGCTGGTAACCTGAAAGTAAAAATTGCTAATGGTTCATTAGCCACAGTAGCAGGAAAAGGTTCAATCATTTTGTCCAAAAATCTGGTCCTAGAGTCTGTACTTCATGTGCCTTCCATTTCATGCAACCTTTTATCCATTAGCAAACTCACCCAGGATCACAATTGTGTTGCTAAGTTTAGCTCTTCTTCATGTCAATTTCAGGAACTGGCTTCGGGGAAGATGATTGGCAATGCTAAAGAGTGTGGAGGACTTTATTACCTAGACAAGGAAGACTCAAGTAGACAAAATCCAGACTGCAAATCTTTTTATGTTTCTTTATGTGAGAATAATGTTATGTTGTGGCACTATAGACTCGGCCACCCCAGCTTTCTGTATCTGAAAAATTTGTTTCCATCTCTTTTCAATAATAAAGACCCCACTTCCTTTCAATGTGAAATTTGTCAACTCTCCAAACATCACCGTGTATCATTTCCATCTCAAACATACAAACATTCAGCACCATTCTCAGTAATACACAGTGACATATGGGGTCTCTCACGAGTTAAACATTTTTCAGGTGCTAGATGGTTTATTACTTTCATCGACGATCATACTAGGCTATGTTGGGTATATCTCTTAACAACAAAATCTGAAACAGAACAAGTTTTTAAGAATTTTCACTCAATGGTCAAAACTCAATTTCAAACCCAAATTCAAATCCTCAGGACAGACAATGGGAGTGAGTATTTTAAAATTGTTCTTGGAAAATTTCATCAAAGTGAGGGAATTGTTCATCAAAGTAGTTGTGTAGATACCCCTCAACAAAATGGGGTGGCTGAACGGAAAAGTAAGCACCTACTTGAAGTTGCTAGGTCCTTAATGTTCACCACTAATGTGCCAAAAACCTTATGGGGAGAAGCTATCCTCACCGCTTCATTTCTCATCAATAGAATGCCCACTCGAGTTTTAGGGTACAAGACTCCTCTAGAAATGTTTCAAAGTGTATCCAACAAATCGTCTGATTTTAGATTTACCACTTAGGATATTTGGGTGCACCTCATTCGTTCATATCCATTCCCATAGCAGGGGTAAATTTGATCCAAGGGCCATCAAATGTGTTTTCGTGGGCTACTCACCAACAAAAAAGGGGTATAAGTGCTTTGATCCAAAGACTAGAAAAATGTTTGTTAGTATAGATGTTTCCTTCTTTGAGAATCAACCCTACTTTACCAAAAATTCTTTTCAGGGGGGGAGTGTGAAAACATAAGAGATTTCTTGGGATAATTTTTGGGATACTCTTCCTATCTCTGTGAGCCCTCTCACCTCAGTGCCCAAAAGTCCCCAACCTGTTTCCATTCCTCCACTAGATCACTCTATTTCATTTCCTCAGGAACTACCCACTGCACCCGAGTCCACTTCCAAGTCCACTCCACTCACGAAAAAAACTGGGAAAGAGTTCCAAATTCCTGAATTAATTGTCTATGAGAGACGGAAAAGAAAGGGAAATGAAGGAATTCACACACCAAGGCAGAACCAGTCATTGGATCCACCAGTTCTTGATACTTCAAGTCTGAACCCTCCTGCAGATCATGTCCCCTCCGAAAGTCCAGGTAATTCTACACCAGCTTAGGACTTAGATATTCCTATTGCCCTAAGAAAAGGAAAAAGAACATGTACTTCTCATCCCATTTCAGACTACATGTGCTTTAGTAATTTGTCTCCATCCTATCGAGCTTTTGCCACTAATCTGTCCAGTGTAGTGATTCCTAAGTCAGTTCAAGAGGCATTGAGTGTTCCAGAATGGAGAGCAGCTGTTATGGAGGAGATCAAAGCACTAGAGAAAAATGGAACTTGGGAGTGTTAGCAATACCGAAGGGCAAGAAAACAGTTGGGTGCAAATGGGTGTTTACGGTGAAGTATAATTTGGATGGTTCTATTGAAAGATATAAGGCTTGCTTGGTCGCAAAAGGATTCACACAAGCCTACGGAATAGACTATCAAGAAACCTTTGCCCTAGTAGCAAAACTCAACACTATTCGAGTCTTTCTCTCTGTTGCTGCAAACTTAGACTGGAAAATTTCCCAACTCGACATAAAAAATGCATTCCTAAATGGGGGGGACTTGGCAAAAGAAGTTTTTATGGATGTTCCTCCAGGTTTTGAAGACGTTTATGGTATGGATAATGTGTGCAGACTGAAAAAATCCCTCTATGGATTAAAACAGTATCCAAGAGCCTGGTTTGATTGGTTTTAAAAAACGGTGAAGAGATATGGATACACCCAAGCTCACACTGATCATACTTTGTTTTCAGGAAATCTCAAGATGGAAAAATTTCAGTTCTAATTGTGTACGTGATAGAGCCTAAGTACAGGAAGGAAGAAAAATCTAGAATAAAGTTTTATTGATAGCGAAAAGGGGAATACAAGATAGTACTGGTCTTTCGAGAGGACCAGCTCTCTCCCAAGTCCACTCAGAAAATGCCAAGATACCTCCCCTCGCACATGCCCCACCCACTAAATAGCTAACAACTTGCCTAACTGCATTCTTTTTCATGCACAATTAACTAATTCAATTAATCCTGCCAGCACACACTGCTCTCCCACCTCTTTATGACCTCAGCACAAGGCCACCTCAGCTAAGACACGTGCTTAGCACACCTGGCATATGTAAAACGAATCGGTGGCTTATCATTACTCCCCACCCATAGAGACACCTTGTCCTCAAGGTAAAATTTTGGAAATTGCTCCTGAATCAGTTCGTAAGGCTCCCAAGTTGACTCAAAAGAGGGCAGACCCTGCCACTGGATCAACACCTCCAAATGATGGCCAGGACCCCCTTTTCCTGCACGAAGGCCCAGAACAGCCTCAGACGTCACACATAACTCCAAGTCAAAGTTAAGCTGAGGTGGGAAGGTCGGAGTGGCCTCCTTACTCCCGATGGCCTGCTTGAGCTGCGAAACGTGGAAGACAGGGTGGATAGCCGCCCCTGAAGGCAAGGTCAGCCTATACACCACTGGTCCTATTCGAGCTTCAACAGGAAAAGGTCCAAAGAAATGCGGGCTCAGCTTTTCGAAGGGCCGAGACGCCACTGTGCGCTGCCTATAGGGCCGCAATTTCACGTATACCAAGTTCCCCACATCGAACTAGACATCTCTCCGGTGGGAGTCAGCCACCCGTTTCATGCGACTCTGGGCCTTCAAGAGATGGTTTCGTAGCTCGTCTAACATGATGTCCCGCTCCTTCAACGACTGGTCAACATCCGAGCAGATAGTGGTCCCCTGATCGTAACGGAGCAGCGAGGGAGGGGGTCGGCCATATACTGCCTGAAAGGGAGTGGTGGCTGTGTGAAACGCCGTATTGTACCAATACTCTGCCCAGGAGAGCCATTTTGCCCACTGCCGAGGACAGCCACCCGCCAAGCAGCGCAGGTAGGTTTCCAAGCATCTATTCACCACTTCCGTTTGGCCATGGTCTGCGGGTGGTATGCGGTACTGTGCTTCAGATTGGTGC